AGAACATAGTGAGTTGATTTCAAGTTTCATATCATGGTGAAAGTTTTGTTTCTTATTTTTTTATTTTCAATTCATATAATAAAAGTAGTGTGTCGGCCGTTGGGCCTCGCTTAATTTAATCCTGAGAGCAAACTATGGAGAAAATAACACTGTGATCGTCAACAGAGCTGTGATCTAGATGGATGTGGGTGTGGGTGTGAGGTGTGGGTGTAAAGTGTGGCTGTGGCTGGGTGTGGGTATTTCCGTCATTCACACCCACACCCACACCCCACACACACCCACTCCATGATATAATTCTTGAAAATGATAGAATACATTTACTACGAGCAGAAATCATGGACGTGTATTATTATCATTGCATTGCAAACAAATTGATTGTGTTGTTGAAATAATCTGTTTAATCAAAGTTGTGTTAGGTTAAGCAGCTCTCAGCCACAGAAGTGGTACATTCATCTATCACAATATAATAAGAGAAAATTGGTCACATATTACTTGGACGATCATTACCTAATAGAAAAAATATTCTATATAACTACGAAAAGTTAGTCGATGACACAGAATCTTTCAATTGTAATAAGTTTCGTATATTCAAATAGGGATTCTCGAAAGAGAGAAACAGATGACTTAAAAGACTTTTGGACTTCTTTGTTCATCATATCACTAAAGTCATGGAAAATTATATTAAGCCATTTAAGTGGTAAAGATTATCATGAGTCATTAAAACTATGTGAAAATCAACAAAGTCATTCTAAAAATAAGAGCACTAAAGCAGAGAATATTAAGAATTAGATGGAAACCATAAGAATTAAAGTAATTAGTATCAGAACTATCAAACATTGAAATAATGTGTATTGAATTGAAATTTATTTTTTACGTTATTTATCAATAGACATGCAATTAATCAAGAGTGAACAATGATAAAAAAAATATTGCTTTTACAAGTGAAAATTTTTCAATGTGTCACTGAAATTGTTTTCATTGTTGTATAGGTTCATCAAATCAAGAACTTCGATCAGAAACGCAGAAGCACTGACTAGAAATATAGCTGTGAGAAAAATCGCAACTAAAACTTTTGCAAATATTTGATATCTATTTGAAAATACTATTTAAACATACAATGCTAACTAACATACATTTTTCATGAAACTTACGCAGTACAATACTGAAAAAGTGATCCTACATAAATATATGTTTTTAAACATTAGATTTCACGAATCTGTACATAAATTAATGAACAATACTTCTGCCAACAAAAACATTGAGTTTCTACTCATTAAAGAGAACGTTATCATATATGCTTCATGATTTAATACATACTAGACCTGAAAAGACGATTTGAATTCTCTGGAAGACATATTCAATCACGTTTCTATGTTCTCTTAATGTTAACTATGTAAAATATTCGATGAAAAGTAAGTTTGCTCAAATTCATATACCTAGTTGTGCTTCAGACAGAGATCTTTATCAAACAGTGTATAAATTAACTATTAAGTCATGTAAATAATACCTTAGACCTTGTTAATTAATGTAGATACAACAATCTAAAGCATTATGAGATATTGTATTTCATAGAATATTAAACATAGAAAAATATAGATCAGTCGACATGAAATTTATATTAATAACAAGTTACGATAGATTATAAAGTTATTTTAAAGTTTAGGCCTAGTAATCGGTATTTCCTTATCAGATAAAAAAAAACGTTCTAAAATAAGCTCTCATCATTTAATGAATGTTAAATGCATTCATTGCTTCGTTGTTCTGGATTGTCGTGTTCTTTTCTACTATAAAAGTCAATAAGAAAGAGCAATTTCTTTAATAAAACAACATCGATTGTGATGTCATCTTAAATTAATCTTGTGTTATTATTGGTATCCTGAAAACAAAAAAAATGCATCAGCAAGATCTTTCAAAGCTCTGCGTTTTACCTTATAGGAGAGTCTATTAAAAATGGTTTTAAACAAAAGCAAAATGGTGCAAACCTCCTCTGTAACACTGTTTTCTCGATAGTCAGGACCATTTTCCTAAAAGATCCTACAAGGCTTCTTTTTTTGTTAGAGAATAGCTGGTACTTTCTTGCTGATCTACATTCATTTCTTCTTCAAACAATAATAAAATTAGATTAAAATAATTGGAACTTTCTCAATCAACACTTTTTAAATCGTCTAGAACTGTTTCTAAACTTTTATCAATCTAAATTATGAACCTATAGATATTTCCGCCTTTATCTAAACTGTCGAAATGTCAAATTCTATAGCATTATTCGAATATTGTATTGATAATTTAATGTAACACATGAATTCGATAACTTTCATAATTATTTATCAAAGACAATAAGAGTCATGATCATTATAAAGTCAGCCGTTTCCCTTCTACATTTGGCACACAACCCATGGATTTTACAAAATTAAAAACTTATGATTTTTGTAAGTTTTCTATACCAAAAAATGGAGAAAGAGTATTGAGAATGATGCAAAGCACATAAAAATCGATGTATTTCGAATTTATTGGTTAAAAGAAACTTTTTTAATGAAGCAAATGCAATAAATTTAGTTCTTAATCAAAATCATGGCATTCAATGCATGGAAATGTCTGTGATCATACATGAATTTTGAAATGAATAAATGTTTGTCTATTTCATAACTTCAATGCAATTGCTTTAATTTTTAAGCTCCTAAAAAAATTCCTCGATGCATTATTTCATCTAGTTGATGACCAATATCTTCTTTTGAAGAACACAAAAACGGCACGATATATAGAAACCTAATTAAAACAAGTGTGTGAAGTGCAAGAAATTCTTTTTAAGAAGAGGAGATGTTCATATAATATTCTTTTGTAAGTGAGAAGATGTTCAGTCGTCTTTTCATTCAACGACCTTTTTTTTTCTTTTATAAAAAAACAATTTTTACAGAGCAAAAATGAAATATTTTCTCCAAATGATAGGAGAGATTCGGGTACGAAAAGAATGGGGTGTGGGGGTGTGGGTAGGTGTGTGAACGTGTATTCTTTTTTCCGATAACACCTCTCGCAACCACACCCACACCTTCGAGTCAGTTTCATTCTTCTATCGTCGAAATAAATGATAAAAACATCAGTGTTAAACGAACACATCATTAAGATATTTAAAATAACGTCACATCCTTCCTCTTCAAGTTATGTAATTCTGTCATATCAATTTTACTCAATACAAATTATTCTTAATTGTTATTTTTGAAAACTTATAGCATCTGCTAATTCCATTAATATCTCTCTATCACAAAGCAAAGTGCGCTATTTTTCGTTCTCTTACGCCTATTGACTAAAAGAAACGAGCCAATAGTCAGTTTTCTCTCAATGCTCAATATGAAAAAAAGATTAATTAGCACTTTTCTCATTAATAGTACATTAGATTTTTACTAATGAGATATGAGATCGATAGAGCTCATTGAGTGCCTTCTTGGAAACATTGCAAGCTAAGTTGGAATCGGCCTTAAAATGGATCACAACAGAAAATATTCAAATCCTTACCTAAGTTATCCTACGTGATCGGTAAGTTGGTTTTTATGGAGAACGTTTGAATATAGAATTTTTCGTTTTCGTTTTCTCTATCATAGATATATTGATGATATCGTCCTAACGCCAATTAATCTACTAAAAAACTTCATCAAATGTTAGAAAATACCAAGACACGTCATTCAAACATTAAATTAATCTATGAAACTAATAAATACGTTGTTTTTCTTGGTATTTAAATAAGATATTAACATGAAAATCTAAATACAGTTATTTATCATAAAGAAGTAGCTGAACCTTAAATTGTATCATTCATATTAGATCATCCGCATCATATATTTGAGAGTATTGTTAAAGGAACTCTTCTTCGATCTGTACGCTATTCAATTAATGTCATCCTACAATTGTAGAATATCTATTATTTTCCAAATTTTCAAGAATGTGGCTGTAGTCTAAAAAGCTACAACTCAATTAATATAGGACGACAAGAATTTATTGAAATTGTTCTTGGGTTTTTTTAGTTAAGAATAACTTTTGATAAGACTCGGGTATGTTATTCCTCTGATTCCAATGGTAAATGACTTCCATCTCTCCAAAATTGTCCATTCTCCAGATTCTCAGTGTAAACAGCATGTAAAATAGAATCAGCACCTAGTTTAGGTGATCGTGCGCCCTGTGCTTTGTTATTTAGATCAGTTGCACAAAATCCTGGACAGACCGCACTAATTGTTATATTTTTCGTTGAATATTTTTTATCCCAGTCACGTGCTTCCAGACGAGTTAGAATATTGACACCTAGTTTTGATGCGCCATAGTATAATAAATAGGAATCTTCAAGGGCAGGAAATTTAATAGGATCAAAGCCAGCCGTTTTTGGATCTTTTCCTTCTTCAACTGCTTTGAATAAGCTGAAAATGAATAAAAGAAGATTAAATAAATGTGTCTACTTGATTCTTTCTCTCGTCAACTTACGGTGTAAATAACTCTTCTAATTCAGTTTCTGTTAAGTTTGGATTGAGAAATTTTGTTTTTAAGTCTTGAGAACAGTGTTTCATTGACAGTGCCCCTGCTTCACTACTAACATTAACAATGCGTCCATTGTCTCTTAATAATGGTGACATTGCATCATTCATTTGTTTCACTCCATAAAAATTTGTATTGAAAGTATCTTTTAATGCTTTCAAATCTGATCCCATAATAGCTATGCCAGCATTGTTGATGAGTACATCGAGATGACCACCATATTTCTTTTGAATTTCCTGTTTTGCCTGTTCAATAGTTTCTTTCGATGATGTATCAACCAGGAGGACTTTGACATTTAAAGGTGAACCAAGTTGAGCTAGAGCCTCTTCGCCACGTTTCTGATCACGACTGCCAAGCAAAATTAGATCAGTTGGATGATTTGCCGCAAGTTTTTTCACAACTTCAAATCCAATACCTTTATTAGCTCCAGTCACTAAGAATACTCGTTGATATGATTGTTGTTGAGAAGACATATTTGTTTGTTTTTTCTTGTTCTGTGTAATACAACAAAATGAAGACGTATATGTATCTAGATGCTTTTATCGAAAATCGAAGGAAAGAAAAAATTGTTTACGCTTTTATAACCCATAATATTTTTTTTACCTTGTCATACTTTTTTCCTCTCTCTATTTACAACATGCAATATTTTTTTTGTTTTGTCATCAGGGATAGAATGAAAATATTTGTATTTGGGCTTTTCGTATTTTTTCAAATAAAAGTATTTTACTTTCATTTTAAAAAATGTATCTCTACTTATACTTATACTTAAGTTCGAAAAAAGTGCTTGATACTTTGGCTTGACTAGAAAATAATTTCTTTTTTTTGCGCATCTGAAGCACTTAACCCTTTCCGTCCGGATGTTGCCATATGGCAACATTTAGTTAGTTTTTTTGCCCAAAATTGACCTATACTAATAGTTTATAATTCTTTTTACGATCGATAATTATCTGCAGACATTTTAGCACAGATTCATGTGTTCAGAAGAAGAAAAAAATATTCAGGATGAAAATGATTGAGATTCTACGTGAGGCTCCAAAAAAGCATCTCGAACGTAAAAAACGATTTTTTGATGCAACCGAACATTCAATGGTGAAGGCAATTAGTGGTTAATTTTTGTCCATAGACCCACTATATATTGCCTCATTAGTTGATATTATTCCATAATTTTGAACGATGAAAGGTAGCAATGTTGCCATATGGCAACTCCCGGCGGTAAGGGAACAAATTTCTTTAAAACTTTTTTTTCTCTTGAATTGTCAAAATAATATTATTACGTGATGAAATTCTTTGCACATCTTTTCTTTCGTTCGGTTCTTATCATGACATCATCATATGTATCTTACCTAAATTTTTTTACTTTCTTTCTTGATATACGAGTGCACATTTTCTTCTAGTATATTCAGTTCTATTCGCTTTTTCGTTCTCTCTTTTATTTTTCAGGGTCTGTTTCTTTTCTACTTCTTTCTAGTGAAGTCTGTCACCTTCTAAAGCTTTATATACATATATATATACACGAATTCAATGAAGTGTGTTTAATAAGATTTTAAAATATAAAATTGTCTCTCATCAATCTTTTATCTTTGATAATGCCAACTACATGAAGTTCTAAACGACAGTCTATTGTACCAAATGGTCTTAGTGAAGAAGAAGTAGATTCATCAGACTCTGAAGATGAGATAAGTAAAGTCAGATATGTTCTACCAAAGAATTTATTAATAAACAAAGAGTCTTTGTCAAGTGAAGAGGATGATATTAAAGAAACTAAACAAGCAAGTCCACCACCAAAAAAACGAAAAAGATACATTGGAAAAAGAAAGACTTTATCCCTCCATCAGCAGATTTTACTGGAGTCTATGAAGCAGCATATGCCACTGAAACCAAATCGTTGGGGACACAAAATGTTTGTCTTAGCTGGTGGTGAAAGTGGTATTTGCTATGATTTCATATTCTATACAGGCAAAGGTGAAAAGTCTGAGTATGGATTTTGTACAAAAATCGTTCTTGCACTTTGTGAGACAGTTCCTCATGATATCAATCACAAACTTTATTGTGATAATTTTTATACCACAATTGCATTTCAAGTAGAGTTATTCAAACTGGGAATTTTTACTGTTGGTACAGTGAGATCGAATCGATTAGCTGGTTTAGTTATGAAAACTAAAACAGAGTTATCAAGGGAAGGTCGGGGGTCAATGGATCATCGTGTAGCAGAGGTTGATGGAATTCAGATCTGTGCCATCAGGTGGTATGATAATAATGTTGTCAACTGTCTTTCAACCTTACATGCTTGTCAGCCTATCGATTTAGTTCAAAGATGGTCAGCAAAAGAAAAAAAACATGTGCAAGTTACCAGACCAGATGTAGTAAGAGCTTATAATCAGCACATGGGTGGAGTTGATTTGTTAGACATGTTGATTTCATTATATCGTATCAATGTTAAGTCAAACAAATATTATATGAAAATTATTTTTCATCTTATCGATCTTTCAGTAGTAAATGCTTGGCTCTTGTACCGTCGGCATTGTTCACAGATTAATATTCCAAAGAAGAGCATGATGTCCTTATTAACATTTCGTTTGAATGTAGCTGAGGCTTTACTTAAATCTACTCCATTACCACCTACAGTGAAACCTGGACGTCCTTCTTTGAAATTATCATTAGTTGAGAACAATGCTTCAACATCACCAAGAGCTGCACTGAGTCCTCTACCATCAAAAAGTGTTCGGTTTGATAAGTACGACCATTGGCCGGAACAGATAGATAAGGGCAGATGTCGAAATGCAGGCTGTAATGGTTACACAAGAATATCATGTTCAAAATGTAATATACGTTTGTGTCTGAATGAGAAAAATAACTGTTTCAAGGACTATCATAACGAATGAACTGTCTCTTAAACGTAACTTTAGTCTTCTCTGTTACTACTTTTTCTATATATTTGTCTAGTTTCTATCAACAGTTATATTATTTCCTTATATTATCTTTATGAATAAATAGAACACCACGAAGTATTATGTTAAAGCCAAGAAAAACAAAAAAAACAATTTTGTAAAATTTTGACCCCTAGCGGCCGGGTGTTGCCAAATGGCAACTTCAAGTTTTTCGACCCTGAATTACTTTTTAGTTTCGGAAAATGCATTTTTATTATCTACATGATAAGAGGATAACAGAAATATAAGAAAAAAATTTTTTAATAATCGCCTTCTAGGAGCCGGACGGAAAGGGTTAAATGAATGGGAAATAAGACAACGTGTGACAAATATATGATTGATACTTTTTGATGTTAATGTATGATTAAGTAGAAGATAGACAAAAGACGCTCTGGCTTACCATTGGATAATGTCCATTGAGATAGACGCTTATCGATAATAAATGTTCGAATAAGTTGAGGAAAGTTTACTCGAAGAACGTAACAAGTTACATGAGGAAGAAGGGCAAAGACAATAAGAATTATTCTCTGATTTTATGTAAAAAGAAGAAAATGAATAAGATCCTGGACATCAGTAAACCAATATTTAATATAATAATTTAACAGGGACCTGATTGATAATCCAGCCGAGTTAGATTGAGAGTGATGAAACATTGCTGAAGCCGGTGTGGGGTTGGGATGTGGGTGTTGGTGGATGTGGTGTAAACTGAGTGAATGACTCACATCCACGCACATACCCACACCCTTACTGGTAAAGTAATTTAATATAAAAAGAAAGAGAATAAATTATGTTTATTAGATATTGATATAGAGATATACACAGGGTAAGCTTTTTTTTGTATTTTGTACCCTGGCTGAGAAAAATTTTCTAAAATTTGAGATGATCTTGTCTTTTTTATTGCTGCTTATAGAAGCAACTAAATAGTAAACTTTTTCATATAAAGTAAAAGTTTGAAGGCCATACTGTGAAAGTATCTGTCGAACATTGATTAGCTCTGATCTGTGTCCGATTGCAAAAAGTTGTACGCATGCAGAACACTATTCTAGGAAGCTTTCATCTTACTCTCTTTCAATCGTATCCTAGTTGGAAGATTCTAAAAGTGATAAAATAGAAAAATAGTATTATGTTAGAGAAGTGCGCAGTATGGTAGAGTAACTTTGCACATATCTAAATGATAACCAGTAGAATTAGTAGAAAATAATATTTGATGAATCATTAATTATATATTCAAGAATTAGAAACTAACGTTTTCTTATTTCTTGTACAATTATTCTATATATACTCATAAGTATTTGATGTTTTTAGATATCATGTTTATGCAGCTATGGTACATGAAATTCCTTGAAATTTATTTATATAGATAAATTTTCTAATCAGTTGTTGCACTGTTTAATTTCGACTTTAAAGAAATTTTATTATGATTGAACAAGATAAGTTTTGATTTAGATATGCATTTATTAGCGAATTTCTAATTTCATAGTGAAATTCCAATGTCATGCAGATTTTGTAACAAATAGAAAATTACCTTCTTTTTTTACGTGTATTTTCTAATAAATAGTGCATTATTTTTATGACTTTTTTTAACATTTCAAATAGTTATATATATTTTTTTTGTATAGTCAAAGATAAAAATAAAAAAAACACATGAAGAGAGAATATCGTTAATTCAACATTCAAACAACACAATTTTATGTCTTGACTTAATGAACATAATAGTAAATATCTATAAAACTATCCTACTAATTACTTTAATTTTATTAAATATTCTTGTTAATATTTTTGTGAATACTTTTACATAGACCATGATAAAATAAAGAGACGATGCGGAAGGCTGGAAAATATTCATCAAAACAAAGAAATTCCTGAATCATTGCTACCTTGCGGAAAAGTTATAGAAGAAACAGTTATTTCTATTTTTCAGTAAAAATCTATAATATTCTAGTAGAAATATTTTATCCATTTCTTTTTAGAGAAAAAGAAAGCCGATATCTACTTAAATGGAAATATATGAGCAAGAACAATCAATGATTAATATGTTTATATATTTATGTTTTCGCTCTATTTCTTCTTGATCCATATAACTTTATGTGATATGATGTATATCTTCATAAACGGAAACAATGTCCTCATCAACTAGAATCCGACTGGGTCATACTCTAAAAGTCAAATTCATTTCACATCATCGTCAAGATTACCTGAGAAATGTATAGGATATGTTACTTGTCGAATACAAATAATCAATAAAAATGATCTCGCATCCTTGAAACGTTCATCTAACCAAAATAGAATTTCGTTTGAAATTTTGAGTACAGTTCGGGTGAAAAGTTTTCGGCCGCGACTGACCGTTATTCATGATAAATATATCAACGAATAATCATATTTTTCAAAATATCAAATTTTTTTTTCTTTTTCGATATATTCTTCTTCATTACGAATATTTATCTTGATGTATAAGAAAAAACAAAAATGTGTTGATGATAAATATCGTCCTTGTTTTTTACACAAGGGGCTATGAATGAATGAAAAAGAAAAAAGAAAACATGTGAGGAAAATAAAAAAAACCAAGCACATCATCATCATCATCATCACCATCAATATTTACTGTTTATAATCGTAGTGGTTCATAGTGTTAACCAAAACTAGAGGTCTTGCTGTTATTATAGGATATCACATTTGTATTTGCTTTCATCAAATATATATTAAATATGTATGCATATTATAGTTTAATTGGCAGAGTGAATTGCTCGCCGAATTCCAAAATAGCCATATATGCAAAGAACAATAATGAGAAGAGCATGACTGAAAAATATCTCTTCAGCTCCATCTTTTAAGTCGTTGGCCTCTCTTATAAAATAAGCTCATCTTTCTAGAAAACTACAACAATTGTAAAGAAAAATAAAATTTGTTTTGTATGTGTGTATATACAGCTAAGGCTATCATGGTGGCAAACCAACCTCAAATAGCAATAATAATTAAACAGCAGGCACATACTGCACGATCACCTACTGGGTCAAGTGTACAAGCTAAAAGACTTGCCATTGATGAGTGTTTTGTTTACACACACACATATACACTCGCTCCTGTACAAGAGACAAAAATAAAGCAAAATGTTATTAATCTATAAGGATTAATTTTATGTGTCTATTTGATTGTTTTTCTGTCATACGAACAAAAATAAACATTCATACGTTTAGTTAGATAAAAAAAGAGATGAAGAAAGAGAGAGAGAGAGACAAAAGAAAAAAGAAAATAGGTTTATTGTCATTCAACTTAACTATCTATATGAGAAAAAAATTTTTCTATTCTCTCTGAATACACTCATATAGAGCTGGCCAATACAGGTTTCTCTCTTTCCCTCACAGACATATACGTTTTCCTCTCATTTTTTTTATGTTAGTCATATCTATCGACTCAAGGTAACAGTGCATACCAAGCATCTATCCTAGAGAGTGCTTCCTAAAAAAAACTAAAGATGAGATATTTTGTTTCATTTATGTGTGTCTGCTCAACCATGTATATACGTGACTACAACGTTCCCAAAAGAAGGAAAAGAAAAAATAATATCTATGAGATCGTTTGGACATCACGTGATTTGGGATCCTTGTTTCAACATAAAGAACAAAATCAATTATTCGAAATACTTTCTTTAAAATACGACCAACACATCCAGAGGAGATTGTATAAGTGCTCGTCATTTTTTCATTTGTGCATTTGTAATAATGGAATTAGTTGTTGCTGGTGTAGAAGATATACAATTCATTAAGAATAATATCATTAGTATTAGAGAAGACCTCTATACTTTTTTATCCTTACCTTATCTACAGTTGGCAACAATGTGGACATTAGATGATAAACATGAAAGTGGATTTTTTTCGAGATTTGGATAGTAACTTATATACATTGATTAACGACCAGCTTTTTTGGTAAGAAAAGTTTTGTTTTGACTGTTAAATTTATTGAAAAAACTTAATCATAAATTCAGCACCTTTACAGAAAAATATAATTTTTTGTGAAAAATAAAAAGAACTGGACAATAAATTATATATAGTCTGAAACTAAAACTTTTGCTCTACCGATTGATAAGAAAAGTTTTGTTTTGAAAACAGTACTTACTCGTTTTTTCGAAACAGGTTTTCTAAAAATCTTGATTATTAAAAATTTTTTTTCGCAGTTTCTTTGTCGCAGAAACACTTTGAGAGAAAAATAAAGACATATTTGGAATCAGCGTGAAAACCAGGATCGAATAATATACTATTTGTCAATTTTTAAAATAAAAAGTTGTCTCACAAAAGTATTGAGTAAGGATCTCCCTCAGAGATTTTCCATCGCAAATGATTTTTTTTTGTGCATCAATCTTATTGTTGAGTACAAGAAATTGATATTTCTATGAAAAAAATTCCGTATTGGCCACACATGGCAAACTTGAAAGTTGAATTCAACTATTCAATTATTGAATAGTTGAATTCAAGTATTCAATTATTCAACTATGCAAATTATCGATGCCGCAAATTCAGGTGGGGAAAGCGCTTTTCTCTGTCTAACTGCCCTTTTATGTCTGCGCCGCGGAGTGGGAGCACGAAGTGCCTCCTGAAGAGCCGTGGCCCATGCAAGTCTCTGTGTACACAGTAACTGCAACATCCTATGTGATACATGTAGCATTCAAGATGATATTTGCAGCGTTCCAGGTGATGGTAGTAGCATCTCCGAATAGTTGAATATTTGAATCGAAAAGTTGAATAGTTGAATTCAATAATTGAATTCAAGTTTCAAGTTTGACACTACTGGTGAATTATAGCATTATTCTATATCTCGTATAATAATATATGTTTTGTACAATAAAACAAAACTCAATGTCTTCTGAATGAACAAAATTATTTTCTAAATTATCTAATTGTTTGTTAACATTATCAATCTATCAGATGAATCAAATAAAAAAATGAACATAATTCTTTACTTTAACTCTATAATGCATAAATACGTAATAGTTTTTTTATTTGAAATAAAATATATGATCTTTCAGATAGCATTCTAGGTAATAAAAGGGTCTTATAGAGTTGAAAACTAAATATTCTTAGCCTAGGACAGCACAATAAGCATCATTGACACCCGTAACTGTATGATCACAATGCTTTGGTTCGAAAACTTTACATTTGTCTCTACATGCTTCAGTTACGCATGTTGTATCAACAAATGATCGAATAAAAACTGGTTTACAACGAAAACCAGCGCAACATGAACAAATACATGATAATGCACTAGTTGGAGTTGTACCAGTTGTACGATGTGTTGTTCTTGTATGATGATGAGTTGTTCGAACAGTTGAAGTTGTAAAGAATTGACCATAAGTAGCAGCCAAACAAACAGCAAACAGACACGAAACGAATAATAAATAATTCATGATCTCTACAAAATGAAAATATCAAAGTTTACGTGCAATTATAATATGTCAGTTTCAATACCAAAAATCCTCGAATAGGAAAAGTTATCGAAATGACTACTATTAAACTTACCTTATTTTTTTTGAATTATTGAATCAAGGTCTCCTTGGGTATGCTTTGATGCTATCGAAGAAATGGTAGAAGCTATCGATTATATATGTCAATGTATATTGTACTTGGTAAGTGATGTAAATGTGAAAATGACCACATGCTACTTTGATTATTCATTTGAATTTACGTGGAATAAAATAATATTTACTTTCGATATCAATAATGATAACAAAAGTCGAAAGATCTGCCGAGTGAAAGAAAATACACGCCCAATTCTTTTAATATGACCGCTAAATTCAAAAAGTACATGAAAAAAAAATCATTGAAAAAGAGTCACATCATATGTTACTTTCTATGATTATCAAGATATGCGAGATAATCAAGCTTTTACTAATAAATTACAACTGTTAATATTTGATCCTTTTGTTTTTTTACGGAACATGAATAAAAAAGAAAGATTTTTATTTCTTTCTACCAAAAACGCAACATACTATTGTATTTCTATTAAATATGAAAAATAATTATATTTTGATTTTAAAGCAAACAGTTTTCATGTGGAATATTGAATTCATAAAGTAGATGTGCGCATAATGAAAGGAATAACAATTGAAAACGACAACCATGCCAGCAATCCAAATATTTTTTTTTCGCTAGAAAGAGTCGTCAACACGTGAATTATTCTCTTTTTCGACTATTAATGAATTGTCAGAAACTGTCTTTAATCAAGGAGACGATCAACAGTTGCATGAAGAGATGAGTTTTTAAAATGAAATAAAACTAAATAGAAATAATGCTGATTTTTTTAGACACAAGACGTTCTACCAAGTCTAACTAAAACAGAAGCTAATAATGCACTTGCTGAAATATGGAATAAATTCGTTCATTCGAAAAATATTTGATTTACGAACATTTATTCATACACGATCAGGTAAAATATTTCAACAGATTAGCAACAGGAATATATTGATATGATGTTAGATCGTCTAATCGAATATCATTTTAGTGTTCATAAAGTTGATCCGAATCGAAATTTTCTTAGGGTGAGTATGGGTGTGGGTGGATGCTTCATCGATCGACTAACACCCCACAGTCACACCCACATGTATACTCCGCACCTTCGGACGCCATTCGACTTCATATTATGAATATGAGAATGTCTGAGTCAGACAAAGATTTCTGTCCATAACCTAGTGGTAAACTGTCATGGCTTTTTTAATGAAAATTCCACTGAACAAGGTATTGCCGAAAAATTCTAAACAAACAGTTTTGATATGAAATTTTGCTAATAAGTAAGTTTGATAGTCTCAAAATATTCAACGAAAAACGAATGTTTTTCTTGAGATTTTCAATATTCAAAAGAAACAGCACAGCGGTTTACAATAAAAGGATGCAGCAATCGAGTCAGCTTGAAAATCCAATACATCGAAAAAGACTTGATCATTTTCTTTATTAGTCTCAGAAACAATTTTATTACAACAGTCATGATTGTTTATTAGAAGGCCATGGAGTCCTTTAACTTAGTCTTGCTGAGATCTGTGCATAGTCATAACATAAGGACGAATGGTCTTCAATAATAGCATATGTTTTCTCATTAGGTTTTTATTATCGACTCATTAGCTTGAACTGGAAAAATCTCATCAAACACTAATAACAAAGAATAATTTAAATATTTGTTTCCAATTATTGAATTCTGTACTTTTATTAACAAGAAAAAATAGCGAGATAAATATCAACGAAAACAATTTTAAGGTGTTCTGTTCTTCTGATCATGTTGATGGAATTAGTGGAGCCAAAGCAATATCATTTTTTGCTCGAATTTCTTTAAAACCATTAACTGGTTTTTGTGCCAACTTATTATAAACACAATGATGATGTCATAAATGATATTTAAATACATTAAGTGGAACTATTTGACTTCGACATGGTACATGTGATACATTTTGTTGACCATATCCTGGTAGGGTGTGGGTGGGTGTGAGTGTGGGGTATGAATGGGAGTGTGGGTGTGCGTGTGGGGTATGGATGGGAGTGTGGGTGTGCGTGTGGGTGGGTGGGTGTGAGTGTTCGTATGGATGAACAGATTACCGACACCCACACAACCCACCCCCACCACCACACCCACCCACACCCACCCACAGCCACACACCCACCCACCCACACCCACAGCCACACACACCCACCCACACCCACACCCCACACCCACATCGACACCCCACCCACACCCACACACCCACACCCACACCCACCCCACACACCCACACCCACCCACACCCACACCCACACCCACACCCACACCCCACACCCACACC